ATTTTTTCCCGCCTCATTTTTTTTATCTTTTTCCTTGATTAATGAATTCATTTTCTTTAAAACTCTTTTAGTCTTCTCTTTCTTTCTTTCTTTCTTTCTTTCTTTCTTTCTTTCTTTTGTTCAATTGATTCATTCTTTCATTTGTACGTACTCCCTTTCTTCCTTCTTTCTTTTCTTTCATTCTTTCTTTCGTTTTTTCTTTCTTTTGTTCAATTCATTCATTCTCTCACTTGTGCGATCTTTCTTTCACACTTCCTTTCTTCCTTTATTTTTTCTTTCTTTTCTTCAAACTATTCTTTTTTCGTGTGCTCATTCGTTCTTGCTTCTTTTTGTTCAATTTATTCATTCTTTCGTTCGTGTGTTCTTTCTTTCTTTCATTCTTTCTTTGGCTCAACTCATTCATTCGTACGTTCTTTCTTTCTTTTTCTTTCTTTCTTTCTTTCTTTCTTTCTTTCTTCCGTCTTTTCTTTCTTTCTCACTCTCTCTTTATCTCCGTCTTTCTTTCTTTCGTTTGTTTTTTTCGTTCTTTCTCGCCTTCTTTCTTGCCTTCTTTCTTTTCATGGTTCCTTTGATCATTATACGTTTGCTCTTTCCTTCATTCTTTCGTTCTGTCATACAAATGTTTCTTCTTTCGCTTCTTCTCTCTTTCTATCATTTCTTTCATTCGTTCATTCTTTCCTTCTTTATTTCTCTCTTTCGTTCTTTCTTTCATCAGCCCCCTTCTTTACCTATGTCTATATTTTGTTCTTTCATTTGTTTTTTAATCTTTATTTCCTTATCGCATTTTCTCGCGTTCATTTCTCATTTCTTTTCTTTCTTTTTTAATTTTGTTTTCTTGTCTTCTAATCCTTTCTTTCTTTCTTTCTATTTTCCTTTCATTCTTTTTTCTTTTCAATATTACATTACCTTTCTTTCTTTTTCCTTTTATTCTTTATCCCCCTTCCCCAGTATAGATTTTCTTTCTTTCTTTCTTTCTTTCTTTCTTTCTTTCTTTCTTTCTTTCTTTCTTTTTTTTTTTTTCAATATTACATTTACCTTTCTTTCTTTTTCTTTTCATAATTTATCCCCCTTGGCCCAGTATAAATTTTCTTTCTTTCATTCTTTCTTTTTTTCTTTCTTTCTTTCTTTTCTATATTGCATTATATTTCTTTCTTTCTTTCTTTACTATATTGCATTATATTTCTTTCTTTCTTTCTTTCTTTCTTTCTTTCTTTCTTTTCAATATTACATTACCTTTCTTTCTTTTTCCTTTTATTCTTTATCCCCCTTCCCCAGTATAGATTTTCTTTCTTTCTTTCTTTCTTTCTTTCTTTCTTTCTTTCTTTTTTCTTTTCAATATTACATTACCTTTCTTTCTTTTTCTTTTCATAATTTATCCCCCTTGGCCCAGTAGAGATTTTCTTTCTTTCATTCTTTATTTCTTTCTTTCTTTCTTTCTTTCTTTCTTTCTTTTTTCTTTCTTTCTTTCTTTCTTTCTTTCTTTCTTTTCTATATTGCATTATATTTCTTTCTTTCTTTCTTTACTATATTGCATTATATTTCTTTCTTTCTTTCTTTCTTTCTTTCTTTCTTTCTTTCTTTCTTTCTTTTCAATATTACATTACCTTTCTTTCTTTTTCCTTTTATTCTTTATCCCCCTTCCCCAGTATAGATTTTCTTTCTTTCTTTCTTTCTTTCTTTCTTTCTTTCTTTCTTTCTTTCTTTCTTTTTTCTTTTCAATATTACATTACCTTTCTTTCTTTTTCTTTTCATTATTTATCCCCCTTGTCCCAGTATAGATTTTCTTTCTTTCGTTCTTTCTTTCTTTCTTTCTTTCTTTCTTTCTTTCTTTCTTTCTTTCTTTTTTCTTTCTTTCTTTTTTTCTTTCTTTTCTATATTGCATTATATTTCTTTCTTTCTTTCTTTCTTTACTATATTGCATTATATTTCTTTCTTTCTTTCTTTCTTTCTTTCTTTCTTTCTTTCTTTCTTTCTTCTTTTCAATATTACATTACCTTTCTTTCTTTTTCTTTTCATTATTTATCCCCCTTGGCCCAGTATAGATTTTCTTTCTTTCATTCTTTCTTTCTTTCTTTCTTTCTTTCTTTCTTTTTTCTTTCTTTCTTTCTTTCTTTCTTTTCTATATTGCATTATATTTCTTTCTTTCTTTCTTTACTATATTGCATTATATTTCTTTCTTTCTTTCTTTCTTTCTTTCTTTCTTTCTTTCTTTATTTCCACATTTTTTAGCTATAGTTTTCTTTCATTTTTTCTTTCTTTCTTTCTTTCTTTCTATATTACATTACCTTTCTTTTTCCTCTTTTGCACAGCGTGGCTTTTCTTTCTTTCTTTCTTTCTTTCTTTCTTTCTTTCTTTCTTTCTTTCTTTCTTTCGTCCATCGTGGCTTTTCTTTCTTTCTTTCTTTTTTTCTTTCTTTCTTTCTTTCTTTCTTTCTGCAAATCCATCGATTTCTTTCTACCTTTCTAACATTTCAACTTACACCTCATTCGCCATTCTCTGACTTTCGCTTTTCCATTTTTTTGTTCCACGCGATATTTTCTACCTCCCACGCAGTTCTTTCACAGATATTTGATTTCTGTAATTTCAGATAGTGCCGATCACCATTTCTCCAAAGACTCACCATTTCCCCAAAGACCCCTATAAAATACAAGTCACCCTTCGATTGCTATATTCCATCCAAATGAGACTTCAAGTAAACACACAAAATTGTCAAGAATATTGAAAATTAAAACCAAAAAAAGATTTGGTAATGTTGGGTCATTGTGCCTGAAAAAAAAAGGTAATTATTTAAATAAAAATACATAAATTTATAATTTCGTGTCAAAAGGAAGTTTTTCCCTTGACACCCATATTATTTTAACTCCCTTCACTCCACGGTAATGTTTATCTTTTTAAAAAGCGATAAATTGCCTGTATGTGTGTGTGAGTGAAATTTTGTGTATTTCTTTATTAACTGCTCAATAAAGTTGAAAGTGGAAACAAACGTTGATAAAAATATTTTCAAGACGGACTATTAGAAATTTGGAGGAATTTAGTTTTGTTTCGTTCTCCTTTTCCGTTTAATTTTTGTTTTTTGTTTTTGTTTTTTCGTTTATCTTGGCTGCTTCATTTTTCCTGATTTTAATTGCCTTTTCTTTTCCTGTTTCACTTCCAGGAAAAGAGGTGAATTATCATTTTCTTATTTACTTATTCATTTATTTATTTTTTTTAATGGTCGGACTTTTATTTTCTGTGATCTTTGTTGATCTAGTACGAGTTTTATTTTCTTCTATTTTTATTTTGTATTTTTATTATTTATGCCACTTTTACTGACAAGTTTTGACTAGTGTACAAACAGATATGGCACTAGTAATACAAAGAGCAAAAGTACAGGAGACCAGACACAATTATCGATAGGATATCGATGCGTTTCAAATGATATGGGCGTCTGTCAGGCAATTATTATTTGAGTATGTAAGGACAGAGATATAAATTACTTTATATTAAGGTTTTCGTATATGCATATACAATTATTTGTGTGGGAATGTTTGCATACGCACGAATCGTGTTTACGTAGAATTTGTTCTCACTGTAAAAAAAAGAGGAAAAGCGTTATGTGTGCGTGTGTGTCTGTGTGAGAGAGTGAGAGTGTGTGTGTCTGTGTGTGAGAGAGAGCGAGTGTGTGAGTCTGTGTCTCTGTGTGGGTGTGGGTGATTGTCTGTCCGTATATGAGAAAGTGAGCGTGTATGTAAAATGTGTGGATGAATTTAACAGTAACAAATGAAGCGTTAATTAAGCCTAAGTGAATTTTTGCATATGTGCTAGGAATAATTAACCGCGAGCAAGGCAATAAAGCCACTTAGACGCAAGAGATAAATGAAAGAATAAGACAAAAAAAAACGATAGGAATTCAGGAGACAGAAGATGGCGCTTCAAATAGCACATATTTTTGAAGACCAAACCAAGGTAAGACTATAAAGTCGATAAACTGCATCCACGTCTTGGCTAAGACGATAAACTGCATCCACGTCCTGGGTAAGACGATAAACTGCATCCACGATATGGGTAAGAGGATAAACTGCATCCACGCCCTGGGTAAGAGGATAAACTGCATCCACGTCCTGGGTAAGACAATAAACTGCATCCGCGTCCTGGGTAAGAAGATAAACTGCATCCACGTCCTGGGTAAGACGATAAACTGCATCCGCGTCCTGGGTAAGACGATAAACTACCTCCGCGTCCTGGGTAAGACGATAAACTGCATCCACGTCCTGGGTAAGACGATAAACCTCATCCAGCAGCAAGGCCTCTGATCAGGAGGTTTCTAGGAGCATGGAACCACCTCTTAACTGCTGGTGTTCCTATGTCCACTCAGATCTGGTGTGATAGCACCTGTTAGGGTCCCAGCTATGGGCAAATTGTTAACCCCTTAACTGGAGTCAAAATACTATGAAAATGTAAAAATAGATTTTAATACCAGCAATACATTTTTGTAAAAGATTATTACCAGCAATGAATGAAGAAAACATTTTTATCAGCAATACATTATTACCAGCAATAGATTTTTGAAAAAAATATTACCAGAAATATAATTTTGAAAAAAAATATTACCAGCAATACATTTTTTAACAAAAATATTACCAGCAATAAAAAAAATCTTGTCGGCATTAAATAACCCATTGAGGTTGATATGCCACAAAGCAAAAGAAAACACTAACCAAACTTGACCGAAAAGTAAGAAGCCGGAAGACAGTTGCATAAGCAAGAGAAGAAGCTGTTAGCATAGAAATTCCGGTTCCATCTCGCCATTTTGACTGTAAAAGGATGAGACCTTACTGTCAATCAGGTAAAGTGCTTTAATTCGTAAATTAAAGGTAACAACGAGGAAAGGTCGTCAGAAAAATTACCATATATATATATAACGATTTCTCCGAAGAAGGGCCTTACTCAACATTTGAAAATTTTATGGCAACCCTAAGCCTAACCCTAACTCTTATCCTTAACCCCTAACGCTAACTCTAAGTCTATCAACGAGGAACGGTCGTCAGAAAAATTACCATGGAAATATTAATCTAAAAGACCCAATGGAGCTATGTTTCGCCGGTTGGAAAGTGACTGAAGCCGAGATGCCAAGCCAAGACCGATAACATTGCAGATACGTCTTTCGATCTTATGAAGAATCACTAAACACATAGCAGAAGCATCTGACCATATATGACAGCAATGAGGATGAATGGTAGATTTTTATAAATGTGTAAGAGAGATTCAAGCGAGAAAAATTGTCTAGATAAATTGCGTATTTATTTATTTTAAATAATAGAACGTTTTCAGTTTTAAATTGTTATAGACCCGTGTGATGACTTGAGAAAGTTCTTCAAAATGCAGCTATCGATAACTCAAGGGTAATTTACACCCTAGATATTTCAAATATCACCTTACTTAGGAGAGATGCACCCTGTGACCTTCTCTAACCCTGGGCTGATTGCAGCACAATCTGTGACGATTTAACCCTTGGCTGGTTCGGATGGAAATCTGGTTTACCACGGAACCATGTGTGACACTAACCCCTCTGGTTGTCTTGGTCGCGGTCGATGTTCCCAGCTCGCCTCCAACGTCTGGTTACCGAAGTAACTGCTTTGATCTCTAGATTAACCTACCCACGTTGTGATTTTAGGTAGACGAAATCAATCAGGCGTCGGGCCGTAGTGCAAGCTGAATCCGGGGCAAAGGTGATACCGCACAAGTGTATGTAAAAGAAAAATAATGAAATAACCTCAAGAGGTTCAAATGTGTTGAAAAATAACAGGTATCTTTATATCTGTCTGCTGAATACAGGACTGAGTCTTTCTCCCAACCCGCTTCTATTCGTGACACTTTTGCGTTTCTTAAGCGAGTCTTGATATCTTAAGTTGTTTTTCCATAAACCGCTTTTTGATATCTCCAGGCGATATTCATTAAAACTTGCTTTGGTGGTGTAAGTCTAAGTCGTTCTCCATCAAAAAAAATTGCTTTTGGTTAGAAGTCTAAGTAGGAATGCGTGGAAATCTTGCGGTCAGCTCCTGCGAGGCTAGTCTCTGAGCTCAACAGATTTCTGGAACTCTTCTTAGAACTGTCGGAAACTCTCTGGAGTCGTTCGTTTATATGGACGCCGACCAAAACTGGGTTAGGGCCTGTCGTGGTTTGGGTTCTTCGATAATTCCAAATCCCCAATAAGATTCTCTTTGTCTTCGGACAGGAAAATTTATCACTTCCCATTTTTGGAAGTCAATTACTTTCTGTTTTAGAGGGGTTCTCCCCTTCTGTGGGGAGGGGTCGGAGGAGAATTATCCTCCTAACTATTCCTTTCTCATATTGGTATCTCATGCCAATTCCTTCAGTGGGCGTCAACAGGTTTCCCTTCTTTCTCATATGTTCACCTTCGCCCATCACTCACGCCACCACTCAGCCAATGAGCGCTCGGCAATGTGGGTGTGGCTAGACTGGCCTCAGTTTACAATTATCGCACAAAGAAAAAATTTTCTTTCTTTCTTTTCTATCGGCCAGAATTCTTATGAATCGCGCCTTGCGATCATTAAATTCTTATCTTAACTTGGGGTCACCAGGAATTTATTAGCGGAATTCGCTAGTCAACAATTAACTGGGTGGTCGTCTCCATTTGGAGACTAAACCTCTTTGTCTTTCTCGTCTCAATATTATCGCATTCCCAGATGCGCGTTCGCGGTGACAGAATGTCGGTCGTTAAGAGTTTGAATAGGTAGTAACAATGGCTTTCTTCGTCGTTTTTTAAGATAACCGAATTCCGATTAATTCTGCTTTTATGCAGCTGACCGAATTGAAATTTTTATTATTGCTACGCGTGTAGCAGATTGTTATTCTTTATCCGTATTCTGTTTCCCTTTGTACTTCACTCTCTTTATCATGACAAGATCCGGACATACAACAGATGTGTCTCTTTGCTGGACGCAAGAACCAAAACCAAATGATATCTCCGAAAGATAATTAGTGGCTAACCTTTTAGGGTGGTCTCACTGAAATTTCCTCTCCGTCCCATGCTTGGCCCAGTTTTGTTTATCTTTTAGAATTCTGTTTTCCTTGTCGCGTCATGACATTAATTAATTCTGACAGAATCCGAAACCCGCTTCTTTTACGAATTTTTTTGCCTTTTGCGAAAAAATATCTTTCTTCGTAAATGAAAATAAAATCTTCACCCATTTTTCTTTTGTTAAAAAAATAATGTCTTTCGTTATAGCTCTTTCTCGCGTTAAGTATTTCTCGTTTTTAATTTCCATGCTTAATTAGTTAGCCAATTATAAATAAATAGTGTCAAAACCCTTAAAAACCAAAATACAGAACCATGAATCTTTTTAACACATTTTGTTTGATTTCATATATATATATATATATATATATATATAAATAAACACACACACACACACACACACACACACACACACACACATATATATATATATATATATATATAACGATTTCTCCGGAGATGGGTCTTACTCAACATTTGAT